GGGATCATTCACTCCTTGCATGTCATATGTCATTGGTTTTTTCAGTGAAGAGACTGAAGTTAAAGTGGAGGATCCAAAAGAAGAAAGTGGTGGCTTGAATTCCAAAGTTAAACATCGGCAAGTATATTGATACCCAGCAATATTAAAAGTTTTGCAAACATGAACAGGTCATCACACGACATATGCAAACCCAGGTACCCCGCTTTCTGAGGCATTCTGCTCTTAACTCTCCTGGTGGTAAGAAAAGACATTCTTCAAGGCCCATATATTTCTGAACTTGCAATTTATTACATTTGATGACAAAGCATCTCCCTCGTGGAGACATCAGCTGGTCTTTTGATAAACATGTCCAAGTGGAACTGTCCTATTAGATTTTTGAAACTTTATCCATGTAAAATAAGACTGGTTGACTAAGCTACAAAGTATAACACACAGAATATGTTTCATGTATCTCTTCCCTTTTCTCCGTCCAGAAAAATTATTCATAGGGGTGGAATAACAACCCCCTCCCTTTCCCTTGACATCCTGTACCTGCCAGGGCCTGCTTATTGTAAACAGTTTAAGTTTTATTTCCCTTGTAGACAGTTATTTTGACAGTATAATGTTAATGATTCATATGTTTCCTTTTGGATTTTAGGGATCAAGGAAAGCAAAGGAGTTATCGTCAGAGAAACCGGAGTTCCAGCAGAGACAGCACACCTGAGCGGGGGCATAAAGAGGAAGATGTTAGGCACTCCCAAAGAGAGCACTCTTCCAAAGAGAGAGTGGACAAGGACTCAGAACAAAGAAATCATAGCAGGGACAGTTCACCTGATGAACGCAGGCTGTCCCGTGACAGGAGGGACAGACATGATGACAGACATTCAAGAGATGGAAAGAAAGACAGAAATAGAGACAGAGATAGAAAAGACAGAGATAAACACAGAGATAGGAGAGATAAGGAGAAAGATAGGGAAAGAGATGGAAAGTATGATAGCAAAAGCGGAGAAAGGAATAAAAGCAAAGACACTGGCAGAAAAATGGAAACTGAGAAAATGGAAGTAAACAGGAGGCTTTCCCAGGATGAAGTAAAGAAAGATAGAGAAAGGTATCGTCATAAGAAATTCATTTAAAAATTGCCAGATATGTTCATACTTATGTATTAATACTCAAAGATCCTGATATAGCTGTCAGAAAAGATATCCAGTCAAAACATTTATTTGTTGGGGATATGTTAAATTAAATTTAAATAAATTTTAAAAATCTTGAGAATTTTTATTTATTTTCAGTCCAGTCCATTTAGCCACATTTATTATTTATATGTTATTTATTATTTATCCAGAAGGGAAACCCTGAGAGACACAGCCATGGACAAAGCACCTGAAAACACAGATGAAGATCTTGACAGAGATCAGACAAGTTCAGAAGAAGACGACGATATTAAAAATAAGAGAAAAGATAAAAATAAGCATAGTGGCAGTAAGAAAGCCCTTGAAAGGGAAGGTGATAAACGGGATGAAAAGAAAAATAAATATGCACGTAGAAATGATGAGCAGGCTGTAAGTGATGCGAAGGCCAGATACTTAGCTAGAAAACTAGCAAGACAAAATGCAGAGTAAAATATGTAGCCAGAGATGCAGTATTTTTATGTGCAGTGTACTGAAGTATCCTGATGAAGGATAATGCAACAAATATGGAAAGCTATTCTTGGTGGATGTTTCAATAGACATTTTAAGGAATAAATCCAAAAGAAAAGATTTTGAGTTTATTTGAATGATGAAATATATTGTTTGAAATATATTGTTTCTTAGGAGTCATAGTTGAATAAAGAATGTCATTGTCTGCATAGTTTTTTTACATCTTAACCAAATAAACTGTATTTTGACCTTCATGTACATACAACGAGTGTCAGCTACTAAATTTTCAAATGGCTGTCTCGTTGGAGCATGCTGAAGTTCTCTGCCAGTAATCTCTATCAAATAAACTTTCAATTACATACGAAGTGCACCTTTTGAGACATCTTTGGGCTTGGGACAGAAAATTTTAGAAGAGACTTAAGTAAAGAACACTAATAAATGTTTTATTTTCAAAAGGAACTAACCAAAGACTAAAAAAATCGTAGATACGATTAATAAGTCCGGAGAACTTTATATCAGAAAACATCTGAGTTGATTTAAGTGTGTGGCCAATACTGGATTTTGCACAAAGAGATCATTACAAAAACATCAAAACTTTATTAAAACGTTTGAATTATTTTGAAGTAGTTATCTAGCATACTGTAATGCGTATTTTGTTGAATCGTTTAGTAGCGCGCTTGGTCATCGTCTCACTTGGTAAATGAATCCTAAAACAACTGACATTGATTATTATGATATCACACTTCTCTACCATAATGTAAAAAACATCAAAATCGATAAAGTATTTTAAACAATTTAAAAGTTACCGCCTAGCGTGCTTACTACAGCTAACTTGTCTCATTGATGAAAGTGCAGCGAATGGTGCCGGTTTTAACGTCAGTATTTTATTATTTTTACCACGGTTTAGAAATTTTAAAAATTTGATTAAGGTCAACGCAAAATTGTTAACACTTGATTAAACTGCATTTCACTAAACTTAACATAAAAATAATTTTGGGTTTTAAAAAGCAAATTCCAAATTGCCCCTTTTGAAAACCTTCCTCGATATGATTGTAAACAAATAATGGAGAGAAAGAATAACCGACAGTTGCCCAGGCGTGTGTATTAACACAACACCATATTAAAAAACTGCCAGGTGGTTTTGTTAAAATTATCCATACACGTACGAAAACTTCTGTTAGCTGTTATTCAAAGCGCTTGCTCTTGCCAAACACAGACTCATGCTGCAACCCATTGTATTCGCTTTGTTAGTTTTTGCATGGTGAATGTAAGCCTGTTTATGTTATTAGCTCAAATTTGTGATTTGTACGCTTGATTAGCTACAAGGGCTAATATAAGGTTTTACACAAATGAGTTTTCGTCTAAAGACCTTCGGTGAACGAGACTGTCGGTAATTTAAGGCTAAAACACAAATATGAGGTCGACGGGATACCAGTTTCACTTAAGTTATATTATTAAGCAAAATTTTGGTGAAGTCGCACCTAAAACTACCAAGGATAAAGTATAAAGTTTATAATGATTCTTAATGCTGGGACCGTCTAACAGTGTATTTCCTCTAACGACCAATAGACAGTGCAGATACGACTTATCTCAATGGATAACAACTCCGCTGCAGCATTGTGGACATTACTGGGTCTACTAGGCCTAGGGTTACTTATCATCATTCTGATATGTGCTTCTTGGAAGTTCCTCGAATGCGGGCAAAAAAGGATTTCAGGTATGTTTCTGATGTTAAAAATTTATCATCTCTCGTTTTCAGTTATTTGAAGCATTGTCTGGATCTCAAGCAATTAGTCGGAAGATGATACTAAATTAAGAACAGTTTACGGTAATTCGAATAGCCTAGTTTCAGAAAGTTTTGGGCAAATTCTTATAACAGTTGCTTAATAAACCGTGAAGGAGACCAGTCAATGTCCACTGAAATTGTCTAAAAAACAAGCGGGATTATTTTGACCAAAATAATTACCTTATATTACTCATTTAATGAATTTGTTTCAAACCTATGATAATTTTGCACATTTCAAGGTTTTCTACCCCTTTTCCGTGGAAGGAAAGAGCAGACCTTAATACCACGGTACAAATACAGCAACCCAATATTTGACACTGAAGAACAAGTCCCAACAAGCACTCACCATCGACAAGAAGACAGTAATGTGTCAAACGTTGTCCAGGTATAATGTGGAATGCGTATTGTCTCCTACATGTAACATCTTTTGACGGCGAAAAAAAGAAGTCAGTTTTTCCAAAAATCGAAACGCGTGACAGGGTTATTCTGAAAATGTACATTTCGGCCGACAGCGGTCTCGCCTAAAGCCGTAGAGGATCATTACCACCATATGAAGTCACACCATATGAAGTCGGGAATCTGTAGTGTCAAGTGATCGCCTCTGGAACGGGGAAGATACAGTATGTCAAAGCGGGACACTACATGTACGGTTGAAGATTTCGAATTCGTTTTCAGCCTTGAGTCGAAACTGTTTTAGGCTTAAATAACACACCATTTTCCACGCGAGTGGGGCAGTTGCGAACATTTTGCAAATTGCAAATTTTGATTTGATTACACGGATTTTTATCCTTTTTAGACTTCACTTTCAATTTCGATATTTTACAAGACATAGGGCCAACGAAACAACCAAAAATGTTATTTACGGTCTCTTCCATAAGTCGACTTTTGTCTTTTAAAGCTTGTTGTCTCTAAAAATATTCGTCTCCCCTCATCAAATTAAGTTGCTACAAGAAAAGTATACCTTTTGACAAATCTGAAAGTCGATAACATATTTTAATCTTAGCTAACGGAGACGTTGGGGGATCCGGATAATGGCAAAATATTTAGTTACGTCGAACATCGGTGAACAGTGGACCTAATCCGCGACGTTTGACGTGTAAGTGGACAGGGCCCCTGCTCCATATTTTTATGGCAGACGTGGTCAAAAAAAAGCGAGTGAGCTATGTTCACACACATTGTATTACTTTTAAGTTTCGCAAGATAAAGCAGAGAAGCATAGCTTGCAGCAGATTATTAATTTCAAGGCTGGAGAGTATACTCAATCTTGTTTGTAATAATCTTCCTCACGGTGTATTTGGAGAAGTGGGAATATATAATTGTACTTTAGCAATAATTAAGAATTAGGACTTGTTTATTATTTAGTTTTTCTTTTTTACAAATGTTTGAACTCCTGGAATGCCCTCTCACATATTGATAAGAAGATTCGTTCTTATGTTAGGGCGTTGTAAAGGCAACGTGGTTAGGAAAGGGGAGCTTGCCATTTTCTTGAAGAAGTTTGTAGCTCAAGGTGCAAGAAGTAGAAAACTCAATATTCAGCAAAAGAGGAGAAAACAAAGATAACAGTTAAAATACTATGAGATTTTTATTTGTTCCACTTGTCATAAATAATAACAATGCAATAGCTTAATCAAAATGTTTAAACAAAAACTTGACATTTGTTTTCAAATCTTACAAAGGTTGCATTCTGTAGTTTTGTGTCCTTAACATTTTTTTTAATTGCACTTTTCAAAGACAAGTTCCTCACTTTCAGCCCAAAAAATAATTCCGGATTAAAAGTTAGAAATAACTCTGACATAAATATACAATCAATGTCTGTGACCATACACTTCAATTAAGCCATGCAAAGAAATAGGGTCCACCATTTCTTCATGGAATATTTTTGAGTACTGCTTCTAAACTGTCGATAACATCAGGGTTTTTCGATGCTTGTCCACTGGCAACTCATCAGCAATGACCCTCCTGATAACTACTACATTTCACATAGATTTAGACACTCCATGTATACATGAAACGAGCCAATGACTTAGGTAATACTTTGCAGGAAAATGGGCAATCATGGGTTTCAGGACAAAATATCTACCTTACGAAATAAGCAGAATGTATCATTTACTTTGTTTCTATATAAGATTTCATTTTACTAACAGCACCAGTCTTCTCTTCTCCCCCGATTTCACTGCAGTTTTATTTTAAGTAGAAAAATTATGACACAGATGTTTGACTTGACACTCCTAAGCACAGCTAAAATTAAAAGAGTTATAAAAAAGAAAATAAGTATTCGAGGGTTTGAAAACAGAAGACTACCACATCACAAAAAAATATATATATGCTCACACATCTTTCTACAAACAAGGAATATTTTAAATTACACATTTATGATAATATAACATACAAAAATGTTTAGGATAAAGGGCTTTGGCTAAAAAGATTTTTTATTGGGGGACAAAGATTTCTTCCAAGTTTTCCAGGAGCAGTGCTCATAATTTGTTTATTCATCCTGCACCACTTTCATATCATCTGTGACCACCTCTAGTTCATTACTTTGAACAAGTTCTGGAGGAAGTTCTAACTTGGCCCAACTGCCAGGCTCAGCTTTCTTCAAGTTTATCTCTACTTTTGTTCCCATCATTTTAACATTACTCTTTTGAGGATCTATAACCTGCAGAGAAAAAAAAAGATGCCATTAACTTGTTTGAATACATATTTAATTTATTTATTATCAAAGTAGCATTACCATGATGTGGATATAAGAATAACATTTTCCTGTCATTATTCCAATAAGATGTTTTTTTAATTAAAAGGGGGTTGTTAACTCCCATCATTTCTGTTTATCAAGATATTTATAAAACAAAGTTTACAAAAAAAAAAAAAAATAATAATAATAATAATAATAAATAAAAAATAAAATAATAATAATAATCAAATAATAATAATTAACAACAACAACAACAACAATAATAATAATAATAATAATAATAATAATAATAATAATAATAATAATAATAAATCACAAAATAAATTGATATAAAGAATATATTTTCATAGTGTGCAGTTCTGAGACAATGTGGAGTGTAGTTTTATTGAACACTTTATTATTATTGCTATTATTTTAATTTCAGTTCAATACCAAGAACATGGTAGTTTATCTTCTGTACCCGATTTGGATACATCACTTTTCAAACTTTAACTCACCCCGTGTAATATAAAATCATTATCATAAATCTTCTCTCCTCCCTCAAATTCTATATGAATATTCAGCTTGACAGCATTGGCTTGTACAAATGACTTTTCTGGGACCGGGACCTTGGAGTAGACTGCTACTGAGACAGCTGATGGTGTCTGATGCCAGTCATACCGACACACCACCTTCTGTGCAGAATCCTGAAAAAATTCAGAAGACAAACGTAAACAATAGAGAAGTATCAAAGCACGTTTAGACAATTTTAACAGAAATATATACATATTTTAAAAATCACGAAGTAAACATAGCCTGGAGATTTTCTGTTGTCCTTGAGCATAGTGGTTAACACAAGAAAACTGGAAGGAATAACAGAAAGGCGATACCATTAAGTGGCTACTTCTTGCAATTAAAACCAGATTCATACCTCCTTTTTAAACCAATTATGACTTCCCCGTGCGCACCCTTCTTGTTCTAAAAAGTTGTCAAACTCTGTTGTTTTTCTTCTGCAGCAAGACCAATATTTTAACCTGAAAAAATATTTTTGAAAATCTTAAAACTTTTTTTCTGCATAATATGCTTTCAATTTTTTTGCTCTAGCTTTTCCACTAAATAACTTTTCAAACATGGGGGTGTGCTGTTTTAACGGGAAATGAAATAAAATACAACTCTTTCTGTGCCTACCCTTCATGAAATATAGGGACACCAGGATGAAAAACACATGTATCTGAGTTGCTGCTCTCATCTTCATATCTCTGGAAAATGAATGACACCACCATCACTTCTCTGGACATATATCACATTTTACTACCTGTAAAATGGTCTTTAAGTATGAATATTTCTAATAATGCGAATTTTCTTTAATCTACACGACGGCAGTGTTTTTCACCAACTCCTACCTTTTTACAGGCATTATTTTTACAACATGTTCCTACTGGCACTCCTTGTGTCTCTGCTGAATCTGAAAAAAATGCAATTAGTACAAAATAACATATCTTGCCCTAAGATTTCAAATCAAAATGACCTAGATATACTTACAAAAATTATTTCATCTCTATCCTTAATATAAAAGACATCACATTTTTAGTAAAATCTTACCTTCTTCAACTTTTGTCTTCACAAAAATCATGAGCTTACAACAAATTACATTTACATCAGATACAATAGTCATATATATTCAACCCACCATTTTCTACTATTTCTGATTTCAGTGATAATTCTTGTAATTTTTTCTCTAAAGCTTGCTTGAGACTGGGTGAAACTGTGACTGGTAGATTGACCATCAGTTCATCAGCAGGTGGACGTTCTAAAGGAGCAGCTATTTTTGGAGGTTGCACAACTATGACCTAGGGCAACATTATTCAAAGTAAAATTACTCCTGTCTGTCCATGAACATGGAAAATGTTAGATATTGTCACAGTCATTAAAAAAAGGGATTGCTTGTGGTCCAGACAGGTCAGTGTAGGTATTAAACACTGTTTCAATCTACATACCACTAATAGCTTCTCTTTTTTCAGGTTTTTTATTTCAAACTTAATATTCATTTTTTTTGTTATAGCTATTATTTGAGCAAAAAATTCTTGGGTATTCATTCCTATAAACTTTTTGACTTTTGGACTAATATCAATCAGTAGTGTAGTCAACCCCAGTAATTTGATAAAAATATGAGCATTAACAGCCTAAATGGAAATACTATAATTTCAAACTCAGCCCTCTGAAGTATAAGTAATATTTCATCTCATGTTATGCTCCCATAAAAGTTTTTTTCCCAAAAATTTAATGCAGTAGTTAGGAAAAGCAGTTGAAATACCTTCATTTGGTTCCAATATCATAGATTAATTACTGTATGTATAAGAAAATGTCTGTGCCTGCAATATTTGGATTTTTGAATATACAATACATTGAGAGTTCTATTATGTAATGTCTGAGTATTTTGAAAACACTTACCTCCTCTTTATATGCTGGATCTTCTTCTGTGTTCTTTTCTGGCTCAGGGGGTTTTTCATTACTGTGTGGACCTTTTGAACACCCCTAATTGCAAATAAAACCAATCAATGTAAAACAATGTTTTACAGTTTTGATTTATAAATGTTAAAAGAAACAAGGCAGCAAAGCTGTCAAATGTACAGACAAAAAACAGAAAATAAAGATGCAAAAAAAGGTCATTTTGTCAATTTTGATGCAATAATAAATAATGCTCATAATAGCACTGTCAGTCAACACTGAATTTTAATCATGCACAACAGGTAACATGGTCAATGACAGGAGTGGACCCTGAGATATTTTCTGACAGTATTCCAAAGTATCTATGTTGATCCACCCTCCATTTTGATGGTCTTCCAACAGAAAAAAATAGATACCAGTCAATATAAACTTAATAACCTGTCTTCAAGAAGACCCACAAGATGGTCTCAATCCACCCCTTCAATAAGATTACAGTTTCAGGACCATGAGAGACTATAGTCACATGATGAAAGTCTCAATATTTGAAAAATGATGACAGTGCATAAAATAATTTTATATAATGTTTAAAGACATAAAAAACAATACAATTGCTTATGTGGCAATACAGAAAATGTGCAGAGCCTTGTGCGGATGAGAGTTAAAAGTCACAAATGCAAGTGTTTGAGAAAAAATTGTAAAGGAAAACATAACAAAACTAGAAAACCACCGAGAGTGCAGACCTCTGCCAAGGCAGCAATTGTTGATTATTGTTGATTATTGATTGATTATTGAGCCAGACCACCACTAAAAACTGATCATTGTCCTCTTTGGCCCAATTCTGACAGTTCCTGAAAATTTCAGCAAAATCGGTCCATAACTTTTTGAGTTATGTCGATGACAGACAAACAGGGGTGAAAATATAACCTCCTAGGCAGAGCCTGAGGTAAATATAATTTCAATGAAGCTGCTATTCAAACTTTTAATCTTTGATTATATATATATATATATATATTCGCATCAACACATCCAGAAAAGCTTCTTATCTTTCCTAATTCAAACTTCAAAAATTGATTACTCTTACTACGTGGGCGAGACACCCTTATCAAACACTATCTTTTCTCATAATAAAGGTGAGTAAACTCCAAACAAATAAAAGAACCTGATGTTGGTATTTCCTTTTCTATGTTTTCTCATAATAAAGGGGAGTAAACTCTAAACAAATAAAAGAACCTGATACTGATATTTCCTTCTAGAATGTAACGAAAGACATGGCTATCTATAGATAAAAAGCAGAAAATAATGATGCATAAAACAGGTAATTTTGTCAATTACGATGAAAAAAGTACATTATGCTTCAACAGCAAAATCAGCACCAAATTTTAATTATATGCAAGAGGTAACACGGATATGAGAAATATGTAACGAGCATGAAGCTGCAAGCTCATTAGAGTTCATATTCACACATTGGCAATGCTAGAATGAGAAAAAATGAAAATTTCACAAAAAATTGCCAAGCTGATTTTCGAACTAGACTTGTATTATATGAATATTCATCAGTTCTGCAAGTATGAACACAATAGGTCAAACAGATTTCCTCTCATATTGTCATGGCGACAACAATGACAACAACGATGGTGAAAACAGACGCATGTGACGGTTATATGTACAGACATGATGTGTCTGTACATAAAAATTCTTTGAGGGAGACCCCTTGCCCCCATACCTTTTCATTCCTTGTTTAGAAATTTTCTCGGCCACAATTAAGATAGACCCTGATGTAAACGGAATCAATACAAACAATATGGAGTTTCTTATTTCTTCTTATGCAGATGATACAACTCTTATACTGGAATATGTTGAGTTCTTGAACAGGGTCCTCTACCTAATCGCTACATTCTCTGAATGCTCGGGCCTGAGAGCCAATTTTGAAAAAACTGAAGCAAAATGGATTGGGGCCAAGAGAGGATGTTATGAAAAAATCAAAACTGAAAAAGAAATAAAATGGAATCATGAAGGTGCATTTAAGTTACTTGGTATAAAATACATAAAAAAATTAACCATTGTGAAATTAACTTTTTAGAAAAAATTGAAAAACTAAAAAATATCCTGAAAGTTTGGTCCTTGAGAAATCTTTAAATAATAGGAAAGGTAACAGTGGTTAAAACTTTAATATTTCCCATCTTAACTGCCCTGCCAACCCCCCCCCCCCCCTCCCCTGACCATATCTTCAAAACTATGGATACAATTATCATATTTAACATTATCTGGGATGGGAAAAGAGACAAAATAAAACGAGCAACAATAGTGTCTGATTACGAAAATGGAGGGCTTAAGGTACCACAAATAAAAGTTTTTACAAAGGCACTAAAACTTTCATGGCTAAAAAGACTTTTGGATGAAGAAAACAAAAGTAAGTGGAGAGCACTTTTTCTCAGTGAACTGTCAGGAATTGGGGGTGATAAAATATGGACTTTGACAAAAGGTGGATTAAAAACACTACAAATAACTAATAATCCCTTTTGGCAAAACGTTATTGATCCTTTGAGTGAAATTCAGGAAAAACAAAGTTTAACCCCAGAAGAAATCCTATCACAACCATTATGGAAAAACTCAAAAAATTAAAATAAATGAAAAATCTTCCATAAAAGATGGTGTAAAAATGGTATTTTCTACATTGATGATATTATAAATAATGTTGGAAATTTCCTCTCTCTAGAGGAACTCGATGAAAAATTCAACCTAAAGGTCAACTTTCTAGAATACTTGAGTATTCAAAAGAGCCTACCATTGGAATGGCTTAAAACTATCTCTACTCATGGAAGAAAATTACACATTGTATCATACAAAATAATTGACTCGATTAAAAAAGTTACCAAACCATCCAGATATTTTTACAGAAAATTTCTCCAAGGCCATACTATATCACCAAATAAAAGTATAGGTAAATGGCACCAGAATATTAAAAAATCCTTAAGTAATGATGATTGGCAACTAATATTTAGATCTCCCTTCCAAGAAACAGATGACATGAAACTGTAGATGCTTCAATTTAGAATAAATCACAGAATATTCAGTACCAATGTCTATCTTATGAAATTTTTTAAAAGAGAATCAGAACAGTGTGAATTTTGCAATGCTGCTTGGGAAATTATTCTTCACGTTTTCTGGGATTGCCCACATGTTCTGGGTACAGAATGTTTGGATGTGTGTCGTTTGTTCCGTAAAAGATAATTTAGGTGTGGTCATTGAGAGATCTCCTGAGATTTTTATATTTGGGCTTGTACAAGCCTATGATATAAAAGGTTTTTTTTACTTATCTTAATAATTAAGAAATATGTTAGTATATGTAGCAGGCCTACCCAACTACCAGACTCGGCACCTAAGGATCCTGAATTAACCGGTATATCGGACCACGCTACCCGTTTTCAAGGTGTGTGTCAGATCGCATTTCGGAGTATCATACCCCAGAACAAATTTTGTAGCACGACTGCGGGCTCATCCACGCTCGGCTGAACAACCTTAAACTGTACTCTTACTTTAGAGTACTCTATTTTATTGTCTCTATGGGGATATATGGGGACTTTACGACATTCGGTTTGAATGTTTTAACCACTTTTGATAGGGCTTTTTTGCATTGTATTAGATTAATGTGGCAGTCTTAGGTTCATCTAGGCGGCTTTCAAATTTATGCACCCGGTTTTAAAATCATATAGCGATTTTACGGCAATCGTTTACTACCCAATCAAGGTGACAGCCGAGCATGCCAGGGCTCATCCTGTTGGTGTTTTGGCTGATACTCCGAAATGCGATCTGACACACACCTTGAAAACGGGTAGTGTGGTCCGATATACCGGTTAATTCAGGATCCTTAGGTGCCGAGTCTGGTAGTTGGGTAGGCCTGCTACATATACTAACATATTTCTTAATTATTAAGATAAGTAAAAAAAACCTTTTATATCATAGGCTTGTACAAGCCCAAATATAAAAATCTCAGGAGATCTCTCAATGACCACACCTAAATTATCTTTTACGGAACAAACGACACACATCCAAACATTCTGTACCCAGAACATGTGGGCAATCCCAGAAAACGTGAAGAATAATTTCCCAAGCAGCATTGCAAAATTCACACTGTTCTGATTCTCTTTTAAAAAATTTCATAAGATAGACATTGGTACTGAATATTCTGTGATTTATTCTAAATTGAAGCATCTACAGTTTCATGTCATCTGTTTCTTGGAAGGGAGATCTAAATATTAGTTGCCAATCATCATTACTTAAGGATTTTTTAATATTCTGGTGCCATTTACCTATACTTTTATTTGGTGATATAGTATGGCCTTGGAGAAATTTTCTGTAAAAATATCTGGATGGTTTGGTAACTTTTTTAATCGAGTCAATTATTTTGTATGATACAATGTGTAATTTTCTTCCATGAGTAGAGATAGTTTTAAGCCATTCCAATGGTAGGCTCTTTTGAATACTCAAGTATTCTAGAAAGTTGACCTTTAGGTTGAATTTTTCATCGAGTTCCTCTAGAGAGAGGAAATTTCCAACATTATTTATAATATCATCAATGTAGAAAATACCATTTTTACACCATCTTTTATGGAAGATTTTTCATTTATTTTAATTTTTTGAGTTTTTCCATAATGGTTGTGATAGGATTTCTTCTGGGGTTAAACTTTGTTTTTCCTGAATTTCACTCAAAGGATCAATAACGTTTTGCCAAAAGGGATTATTAGTTATTTGTAGTGTTTTTAATCCACCTTTTGTCAAAGTCCATATTTTATCACCCCCAATTCCTGACAGTTCACTGAGAAAAAGTGCTCTCCACTTACTTTTGTTTTCTTCATCCAAAAGTCTTTTTAGCCATGAAAGTTTTAGTGCCTTTGTAAAAACTTTTATTTGTGGTACCTTAAGCCCTCCATTTTCGTAATCAGACACTATTGTTGCTCGTTTTATTTTGTCTCTTTTCCCATCCCAGATAATGTTAAATANCTGATATTTTAATCCAAGTGTAAACCTGTCATTAATGAAAAATGCTTATTTGCAAGGGCTTTGTTCATGCTCTTTCAAGTATTGGAAAAGCAGTTGTTTTTGAGGTTTTCAAATTAAACAGGTTTGTGTCAAAATGTTTGTTTTTAAGCCACAAGATAGTTATCCAGCCATAGGTTGCACATTTCACTTTTACCTTCAACTCTTTCAAACTGCATGCAAACTCAGGATTAGAGAAAAGATTGTGGACATTTCATATACCTGGTTCAATTTTTCCCTAGCTCTGAGAGCTCTGGCTGCAACTCCATCCTGTAACTGTGTGGTGCTGCCCCCTGTCGCTTCTTTTATCTCCATACCATTCTTGTCTATCACAGGCAAATTTTCCCTTTTGCTCTGAGGCAGCATATGCAAAGGGCTGCTGTTGACAGTGAATGTGCCCTGCCTCCGAAGAGGACTGCCCGGGCTTTTCACGGCCTCACTTTGTCTAACTTTCAATACCGAGTCTAACTGATCTATCAGGGACGGTGTCTTTGTTGTAGCTGGAGAGGCTTTGTTTCCAGCCTTTTTCTGTTCCTTCTTGCTGTGCATATCGATGGCACAGGCCACTGTGTTTGCCTCCTTGAACAGTGCCACCATTTGGTCTGGGCGTAGAGGGCTGAGAGGTTTGATAGCTGCACTTTCAGAGCTAGTCACCGTGACAGACACTATGGTCTCCTTGAAGCCAACAGGACCAAAGAAAACTTCATCTTCATCATCCATTTCCTCAACCTGCTCTTTCTCAGGACTGCAAATTCAAGTTAACAATCATAAAGGGTCGTGTCAAATAAAGATTTAAGGAAAACTGAGAGAAAAGAGAGAGATTATTACATTGTGAGTAAATTCAAATGCCAATCTATCTAAAGTATATTCATTATACATCTAAAAGACAAATCGCTGTGAAAATATGACCTTAATACTAGTTAATTACTTTTTAATTTTGATCATGGACAAAAAATGGTCATTTCTTGATAATGTGCTGTAGGTAAGACATGAGCTATTCATATACCTGGTAGAAGGAGACACTGGCAGGTCAAAATCAAATTCTTCATGGTCAAGGAGCTTAATGTCTGTAAATACAACCTTTACTGTAAACCAAAGCCAGGCTTATTTTTGTATCATAATTTATAATCTTTGTTATGCTAAAAGAATGTAAATTGCATAGAGTGATAAAAAATAAATAAAACTGAAGATCAATCATGGTGGCTTACTATGATGGCCCTTTAAAAAATCTTATTAGCACCAATTCCTCTCACCTCCACTCCTGTCCTCCTTCCATTGGGGCACTTAAGAATGGGCTCATCTCTCTTCTCAAGGAATTCATATCAAACTCTTAACACTTTGAAAGATGGCTGCCAATTTGCCACACCAAATTTATTTGTAATGCAATGGAACGGAATGGAATGGAATGGAATGGAATGGAATGGAATGGAGGTAAGTGGTTCCCTAGCTATTCAGAGCCATTGTACAGGGATCAAAAACTTACCCTCTTTCAATAGATCTTCCATCTGCATCTTTTGTGGGCCTTCTTTTTCACTGCTCCGACTTGACTCAATGTTTTCACAATTTTCTATATTCATCAGTTGTAAAGCTAAAGGTAACAGTGAGAAGTGATAATCTGGACAGCAATCAGAGTATGTTCATCATTTCATCATTTCTTTTTTTTTTACTATCCTCTCCAAAATACTTCACACTCGAGTGGCGCATTTGACTTGGACAAAAACCACTGCTTAATTGTTGATTAAGAACTTAATTATTCTTCCAAGATTGTTACAGAGTTATGTGCAGTAAGTTTCAGGAATATGGATCAAAAGTTGGTTAGATGCAGAAAATGTTAACCCCTGGAAAATGTCTTTTTTTTCTGTAAAGTGTTAAAAGATTTTTTTATCTTGAATATTGATACTTACCTTCTGCTTGTGTATTTTTCTGACTTTCCGATTGAAAACTGTTTTCACTTTCTGTTGTACTGGCCTTCTTTCCTTCTGTTTTTTCTGGGCTTTCGGTTGCAGATGAGAGGTCAACTAGCAATGCCACTGGGCAATTACTGGAGCCTATAACAAAACAACAGCTTAGGATTTCTCAGCTTAACTTTCAAGTCTCATTTTTAAATCAAAAATTCTAATGGTCTCTTGTAATGATTCTTTTGTAAGGAATAAAATCATACTTGGTTGTAAAATGTCTTGCACAGCATCTCAACAAAAAATGTCACATGATCATGGACTAATTTTGAAAAATATATTAAATTAGGAACTACAGTATAAGAGAGGTTGTAATATCTACTAGGGTTGTACAACCAGCTGGGTGAACCACATTAAAGGGGTAACAACACACAGAAAACATAGCTACAGAGAAAACCACACACACACACATATACAAACCTTCCTGTAAGTTTGTAGTAGTGTCCATGATTGTTTGAACTTTGGCTCAAGGTAAGACACATCAAAGTGAGTTGTTGTTAAGCAAGACACAGGTGCAACATCAATCTCAGGCCAGTGCTTGGAGTCATGAAAGCCTTGAAAACAATTTGGTTCTGTTATAAATATAAACACCAAATAAATGTGCTAATGCATTATTTTTTGTCTAATATTTAGGGCCCTACTATGATACTTACTGTGGGCACATCAAAGAGTCAATCCTTCCTGACCAGTGACCACTGTGGCATCTCATTTAACAACCTGTGCAAACATCTCTCTTTGCCTAATTTTTTATGCTTTGTGAAAAATTAAGCATAGAACATTTGTGATCTTATGAAAAAAAAACATGAAAATTGATCAAGGTGAAGTATGTCTTTAAGGTGGCACAAAAGCGCTCAGTGGTCACAGCTTTCTGGCTAAAATTGGAGGACACATTTGCTCTAATATCGCTATTTAAAAAACAGTGATATTTCCTTTAATTTTAGAGATATTTAATATTATATCAAAATTCCAAAAGTATAAGATTCTGGATAAAAAGACCTTTCAGAAGATATAACTTGTGTTTATATCTGGCACACTGAATTTTTTTTCGGATATACCTGACTAAAAGTCGGAATAAAAAAATAATAAATAAATAAATAATAACTTTAGACTCCCCTCTTGTGTCTCGTACATAAGCAATGGCAAGATTTCACTAAGATAAGACTCAAGCGATTTCCTATATGTTTGATATGAGGTTTTGTTGGCTTTTGGGAGCAAAGTAGGAACTTTAGCTGAGGAACGGCTTTAATCGATGATAATGAATAAAAACTGTAGACCTCTGTGGAAAAAAGAATTGAGTTGCCAAAATTGTCCACCTTGCGTTAGTCTAAAATAAAACGTATCTGCACTTCAAAGAGGTAAGACAAAACAGAAAATAAACCTTACGGAACAAAATTAAGTTTTATTTTAAATATTTTTTACGACATACAGTTGTCGATCACAAAAATTATTTCCTACCTGAAGTTATTCCACATTTGTTTTCACCTCCTTGAGATTTAAAATACCACGTGACTAAAATCTCTTCTGTGATTGGTAAATAGCGCAACACTGTTAGGTACTTCAAATTTTACGACACGTATTTGTAAATATAGAATCTAAATTTGGTTTAATTGTAAGTTTTACCAAAAATTGTCTTCCTGTCAGTTTTCTTTTTAAATTTAATTTATCAAAATTTTTGAAATCAAAGGGAAATGTCCTATTTTTCAATCATTACAGCTATCGCAAATAAGCACTGAACATGGAAGACTCTAGTGGCAGTGGTGTCTTGGACTCGTTTATTCACTTCGCTCTACTTGCGGGTGCCGTTTTTCAGTTGGCTTGTATATTTGCGGTTGTGATATTCCCAAAGAGAAAAGATGAAATGGTAATTGTTGTATTTAACATAGGTGTAGGTAACGATAAGTCGATATCAAGTTCATGATATTCACTTAGTACTTACTGGTAGTCTAGCTGTCTAGCTACTGCCTAGCTTCTTCAAGTTCTTGTTATTTGCCACTATTGCTCCAAGATTTTTACTCAAACCCAGATTCTATTGATAATACATTCTTCGGTACCATGCCCACAGAAATTTGGATCGATCTACTAGTATCTCCCTGGGGAGTCTTACTAAATTGCTATCAACTTAACCAGCTTAAATGTCTGTCACGCCTAGTAAAGCTGTTAGGCGGTAATTATCTTTACCCCCTAGCTGATTCGGTAGGCTTGACAGACATTTAAGCCAGTTAGTTGATAGCAATTTAGTAAGACTCCCCCAGGGAGTTGGACCCATGACACGTGCCTTCATGTAAAATATACATGTACAGCTGACCCGTGCAGTCTGCTATATATTAGGCTCTGGTCCTTCGCTCTAGGCCAGTGGCATTAAAATTTTGTTTGTACCCGTAGATATTTCAGAACATGTGAATTTAGTGATCTGGATTGGCCATTATGCCAACTGGCACTAGATTTTTTTTCTATACTTTAATAAGTTTACAAGAGAGCTTTTGATTTGATTTAATTTATTTCTGGAATGAAGTTGTTACATGATAATTTTAAAAACCTTAAAATTTTAAAACTAAAAACCTGCAAATCTTGTTATTAATAGTAGTAACTAATAGGGGAAATGTCAAGTCTTATTGACATGATTTTAAGTGTACTAGTGAATCCTGATTTATACCTGTAGATTTTTGAAAAGTGGTGGTCAAATGCCAGTAAGCTGAAACGTTTATGGCAAAGACTGACCATGTCTGTGATTTCTGTGAATTACCAAAGGATTTAACAGCAGCATACATGCAAGTAAAAGATTGCATCAAATTTCAGTGAAATTATTTTAGAACTCTACTTCACATTTTAGGAAGAGATAGAAGAAGATGGTGCCCTTGATGCAAATGAACCACTGAGACAAGAAACAAGTAATTCAGGAACTAAAAAACTGAAGGCAGACACAAAAAAGAAAAAGAGATGATATCTTCAAACACAGTTATAGGAATGTATGTACCAGTTATTTACTAGTTATTGTTTTACAGCACTACAAAACCACTTGGGGGTAATTGCTTTCCCCTCCCCCAGCACACACAAAACCAATCCACCATTGTGTAACATCTTCCCCACCTGTAAAATATTTTCCCTACATTTATTCCTACCAACTTTTTTTCCCATTTTAATTTCTACTATCTCCTTATAGATCATTATTACTGTGCATTTGGACCACACGGTACTCGCCCAAAACAAGAATGAACTTACCCAAAAAAAATTGTTAAATTTTTCTTGTGTAAATATACACACATAACATGTAAATGTTATAAGTGAATTATCTTTACCTATTATAAGAAACATTGCCGAAATTGAATTTAAATATCTATTTTGTTTATTTTTTCTTACTTATAATTTAGATTTGTGTTAATTTTACTGAAATATACTCTTGTCAGAATCATCTTAAATTATCTTGTTTTCCACCAAAGTTGCATGAAAAGAGTTTGCTTTAGCACCAGCACATTTAGTAGCAAGTATATGAGCATCACTAGTCTCATTGTGGACTGTAGATTTACCTTTGCAATCTGTACATCCTTCCATAGGTATATATCTGACAAATTAACTTTGAAACTTGAGCAAAAGTCTGTTGAAAACTTCAAATTGACACACGTATTGGGAGGAATAAACTATTTATCTATGTACAGTAAAATGATGTATTCTTTAAAGTAACATTTTGCATACAAAAAAGGAATTTGGGATAAGGGAGAGTGGATTACATGAAGTACTTAACTGATTGCATCAATATTGACATTGCTGCTATGTCCGTTCATTTGACACTTTTGCTGTCTTGTTTGTTATTTATTTTTATTTGGACAACCATCTACAGCACACAATCTGATCAACAACAGAAAGGTTAATTTTTTAACACAAGACAGTAACACAACATTGACAAATAGAAGGAGGAGACTGGCAAGGTTTTCTTTCCAGTGTTACTCTCAATAAGCCCCTTACCAATTTCTAGTGTAGGGGAGTGAGTACCCTCATAGCTCTCAGAAATCTGCATCTCTAGCAAGATTTTGAGAAACTGTTTTACAGAAATCCTCACACTACTGGACTGCTTTGAATCGTGGCTCAATTTGGTACCTATCCAGATTAATGGCTGAAGTGTGAACATTAAGTAGGAATCGGGGTGTTTTTTAAAGAAATTGATATTTTTGAAAAGATTATTTTCAGATGAATATCAAGTAAAATGTATTGTACAGCATATCTACATGTATATTGTATTGCTTCCCTAAGATAGAGTGGAGTTTTAAATTCCTGATTTTTTGTCTTTTACAGAAAAAGTTTGTATGTGTGTATGGCAATATGGACCAGCAGTTAACCACTGAAATGAACAAAAAGCCAATTTCCTGTGTATTTTGGATAGAGCATCATCTATGGGAACATTTCTGTGGAGAGGCAATACATTTTATACCACCTGCTGTCTTACTTACTTCCATGCCTAAGCTTGTTGGGTCTTATATTATAGAGAATCTAAACTTTATAAAGACAATAGAGAGAGAAAGAAAGAGGACAAAGAGCAGAGCCAGAGATTATTGAACCTATTCAGCCTTAAAAAATGAGGTCGAGTGAAATTCTTCAACTGAAGTGCATACATTCAACTTCAACTGATTTATTTCTCCAAATTTGTCTTTTCAAACTCTTTTATGAATTTAAACATGTTTAGAAATTCCTTTTTCTGCTTTTATTATTAATTTTTATAGCCATTAAAAAGGCATAAGTCATATTATGTATATATTTATTAATAAAGCTATTTACATAGTACAAAAAAATTTTATTAATATGTTTGCATTGTTTTTTTGTAGCAAATGTATCTTGAAATGCCTTGTGAAAAAGGCAATCTGCCAAAAATGTAACTGGTCCTTGTTTTCATTGGTTGTGACATAAATATCAGTTTTTTTTCATCATTTGCAATATTTTTATGATATTTCTGCTTTTAATCAACTGATGGTTGCTGAATCTGCAGTGCAAGTCTTTGAATCTGAATTGTCAATGTCTTTGCTGTCACCATCTGTCCTCTTTGCTAAGACGTTTGACATGTCTTCCTCTGGTTTGTCATCGCTGCTGTCATCTTCACCTGATGAGTCGTCCTGCTGGGACTGTATTTTCTGAAAAGTAAGTGAAAGTTATCAAAGCTCAGTGCATTTTTGTTGCCATTCTGAAGAGCTTACTTGATGCTCTTTTGTTCTGCAAAGCTGCATCAAGTTGTAATCGTCACAACTAATGTAACTGTGCTCTGACACGCATTCCCTGGTCGTATTTGCGGCTATTTCGGTGCATCTTTCTCATACACCATTTTTACTTCCCATAAGACTTTGGTTACCCCAGTCCTTAACAAATAACATCATGGAAGTTAAGTGTACTGCTTCTAATTTTCCTACACTTTTTCTTGGAGTGTGAAAATATTTGAAGTTTTATTGGGGAGGAAAATTAATGCGAATGGCTCCTTCCTAGCAGTTTACAAAAAGGCGCTCGCATAAAGACGTATATTCAATCAACCATCCGCATTGCCATTGGGCAATATAGTCTATATAACATCACCCCCACGGATATAGACGCCGATCATCACATTACTGCTTCTCTTCTAGTGCAATCTCTACAACCCCAGGAGAGAGAGAAGGGAATGATCGCTTCACTCACCATTTGTAAAAAATCTATGAGTTTGTGTGGGTCTGTTCCCGCGGCCAGGTCGACCATGTCTACGGGCATACCGTGCTGCTGGTATGGACTCGGTTTCACACCCATCTCTGTTTCGATGAAACGAAAAACCGGCTCTGGGACCTGGGGAATACATAAAACCTGAATTAAAAATTGATGTGAAAATAAAATATAGTAATTTAAGTGTATTTTTGAATTCGGTAGAAGCAATAACCCACGTGCTGTTCTCTACATGCTCATTTCCGTCCCTCTACAAGGGCGACAGATTGATTTTTCACAAGATATTCACAGATCTGTCTCTAGATAAATAGACAGTCATTTGGCTTTCTGTTATTTTCAATATTTCCCTGTAATATCTGCCACCCTGGTAGAGGGTACACATTTCCACTTAGTACATCGTTTTACACTCTGAATTGCCTCACAACTATCTATTTCAGTTTGGTTTGTTGACTCAGTTCGCCCATTTTAAATTTGGCTCTTCCTAACGTCATTCAAAATGGACTCTCATATTTTAAATGGGAAATCATCAAAAACGTTCATACTAATATTAGAAATACTGCACCAAAAGCGGTAGCTACGCTGTCGGCGCTGATCACCAGCACTCCGAACCCGCCATCCCATTCCCCCTGAGACGAGGGCGGGTTATAGTCAAAATAACAGCGCGCCACGGTTACCTCTTCGCTTGCAGAGTCGCCATCAGGCCAGCTGTCCAGCTCCTCCCATTCAAACAACAGTCCATCTGTTACTGGACCAAAAGGGTTAAAATCCAACAACAAAATATTATGCTCAGACTTCCTGTATACGTCAAACACATCTGAAATGATATGACATTGAAAATAAAAACTTTTCAGAAAATTGTCTGTGCTTTTTTCTAACAAGGCAGAAACGTCTCACAAATAAAATTTTGAAAAGCTAACTAAACGCTTCCCATAGAAAATTCATTCACTAATCAAAGGTTAATTTTTCGAAAATTTGAACAAACATGCTTGTAAAATTTCCTTTCACGCTCGCGCGATTTATCGAATTCAAATGGTGAATGACTTAAAAATGCAAATAAAAGACCAAGTAAAATATGTACAGGCCCGTAGCCAGGGGGGGTTAGGGGGGTTCGAAAGAACCGCCCCTTTTGCTGGGAAAAGGTCCACTCTGGGTAAAATTTGATCTAGGTACATGAAGTTTTTATGGGAAAGGGTCCACTTTTTCAGAAAAAGAACCCCCCTTTTGAGATTGCTGGCTACGGGCCTGATGTAGGATAAAGATGGGCTGGTTGTAAAAAGCGTGCTCAGCAGGTAAACGAAACACCTAAAAGATATACTGGCATGCGGTTGAAAAATTTTATTTTTATTTTCATGTCTACATCGCCTGTAAAATTAGTTTTATTTTCCATTTTAGACCTTAAAAAATAACAAATCTCTCAAACAGAAGTCCTTATGTTAATGCTAATGCAGAGACTGGTTGAGCAATGGTTCATAAATAGCAGAATACGTTATGGCACAGAAATCCTGGACAGCATAATATTTTTGTACGTTTATTGCCGTTTTCTTCTGCCCTTTCTGTCTACTTAAAGGGATGGCAACCCTTCATTTTGGCGGAAAAGTGTCGGATTTTCCTCTGGTCATAAACGACAATTTTCCCATGCTTTCCAATGGTTAATGAATCCGTTCTGATACTCAAAGTTATTACATTTTTTAAGTGTTTTTTTTTTAAATAATCTCTCAGGAGATTATTAGGCTACTGAGGGTAACCACCTATGAAGCTCCCCGTGGTCCGTTAACGGCCGTTTTGTTGGTAAAACGGAATTTATTATATTTATATGTGTTGTTTACAATGTAATGTATTGTGGAATTTTGAATCTCATATCAAGACTTGTTGTCCCTGAAGTGTACGTTTTTAAGTCTGTCTATGCGATCAATTACCACTGCGATGTCCCCACATGACTCATAATGCTTCTTTCAAAAAACTATGTACAGGCTTTACATCCTTGTGTTACTTATGTACAAACACAACCCTTTATGCAGTTAATTTTTCAACAAAATATATTGCTCGGTCAGTCGAATGCCAAAATAAGGGTCGGTCAGACGACCCGAAATACAAAAATTTCCATAGGGCTTTACTACCGCAGCGGTATTTTAGTCTCCATTACACCTACTCAAAGTCTCGTAGACGTGCTTCAATCTGATTTATTAAGAAATCATTATGCGGGGCTCTATTTAAACAAAGTAAATGGTTTTCAAAATTACACTACTGCCACTGCGCCACTCGATATTTACATGTCGACTGTATTTGATATAACATTACTTGAAAGCCGAACCAACATTACTTGAAAACGGAACATTAACAACATTGAGCATATTCTAGCATCATTTCTGAGTGCCCGAATGCAAAGTGACGTGACCAGTTTTAGGTTTGTGAGGTTCGGACTAAGCCGAAGTGTCACAGTCTGCTAGAATATTTGTTCATGCTAATATTTGTTAAGTCATATTCTGCTAGAATATTTTCTCCATTACAGGACAATCCCTTGATTTATCTCGCCACCGCATTTTATATACATAATTATTTAATTGAGGACATAAATCTTATCCAGATACTTTGTATATCTGTAAAGGCTAAATGGGATGCCAGTGGCATGAGAATCCATGTATATATATATTCAGAAGAGCGACCAAGTAATTACAGGACTCTGTAGTTTTGGATGGCGCCCATCCGTTCACCAAAGAAGCATAAAACAAGGATATATATCCTCGCCATTTCCAAGACGTTATTTGGAAGGATTGTACCATTTTTTATAAATGTAAGGTAGGTAAAAAGACAGAATGGCTTATACCTGAAAACCATGACATTAACTTCCCGCTTCACACACAAAGGCGAAAATTTAAGTCTTAACTGCCTTATAAACGAAATAGCCGTTCGTGATCTCGAACCTCGGGTTTGTTATAGCGAACGCCAATTTTACGACTCGAACCACGATTGCGCCATGGAATCACCGTTTGAGTCGTGAATTTGTCGTTCTCGATCACAGGTTCGTGGCTCGAGTTAACAAACGGCAATTGTTGTTTATGAGGCCTGAATTTTGTCTAAATAGAATAAATTTACTTTGACCCAAAATAAATAAGAACAAGTCAAGTTGAGCGTAAAGTTGGCCTGTCTCGTGAAAAGTAAGAAATGGCTTGTTTAAGGCGGCCAGGTTGTGTGCTACTGTTGGGGTTTTATGAAAAAATGTCAGGAAAAATAACTATTTAATGTTTCAGCCAACTAAAAACAACTTACAATTTTCGTCCGGAAACTGTTTATAAATCTTATTGTAAAAGAAAAGTTTGATGTCCTCCAAAATGGCTCCGTTGCCCTTTCCAAGAAATGGAAAGAAATCACAGGGGTGCCTCTGAGAAATACCTGAAATTGAAAGGTTTTATATCAATATCATTCAACTTATTTATTAATGCATTTATCAACACAGCAAAATTTATTTTCATAAAAAGCAATTTTATGGGCACTTAAAAAAAGAACAAAAATAAGGCTGAACGCGGTTAACGATTAAGAACGAGTCGTCTATGAATGCAATCTTTCTTGCCTCATCAACAAACAGCTGTCAAATATCTTCATTCAACGGCAGCGAGTTAATCACAGAAATCATGGATATTTTAAGAGAATGGTTTATTTAGCCAAATCTTCAGTTTTTTATTAGGCAGTTAAAAGCGCTGAACTTATCAGTTTGACATTTTATGATGGTTTTAGCCTACACCTTCTCAAAATTACACAACAACGCCAACTGCCATCTTTGTGTATGAACTTTGACCGAAGAAGGTAGGCAAACTTGATGCCCTTGGTACGCTTGAATAAAGAGGTAAATAGGACACCTTGAATGCTTGATTCCCTGTACTCTAGCGACGCGACCATGCAGAATGAAAATTCGCCTCACTTAACGCTCACTTACGGTTCTCAATTTGTCCTAGAACATAATGTTTTTCTCTTTTAATGAAAATGCTCGTAATCTGTTCTAGGACAATCTGAAGGACCTCCCCAAAACAGTTCTCGAACTGTTACATTCATTACAGAACAACATTAGAACTGTAAAAAAAAATACACCAAATGTTCTAGAATAGATAAGTGAACGTTACATGAAACAAATTGTTACGTTGCTGTTAAACTGAAAAATGCGGAGCACTCAGGTTAAGTGAAAACTTAATCTTAAATTCTTAAAAAATGAGGGTTTTAGACACAAAAATTATTATATTTGTTTTTTAATCATCAGTATTAAGTTATTGCCGATTATATTCGCGGGCAAGGTTTTATAGTAGAGGCCTGTTGATAGTTTTGAATAACAGCGAGTCAACTGCATTGCTGCGCGCGCAACTCATGTAAAGTAAATGGATAGAATATACTTTGCAATCAAGATTTAAGTCTCACCACCATGTGACAAAATCTTCATTAATATCTGCTTAGCCCACGATGAAACATAATTACAATAATGAGAGAGAGGACACGCACCAAGCCCGCAAAAATGCCACATCATATCTACATGTATATTTGCAACCATCGCCATACCTATCAATTTGTTCTTCTTGATGAAACATCGGAATTCCAGGCCTGGTTTCAGGTCCAACCATTTCCGAAGAACCATTTCGTATTGGACTTTCGCCTCGTGATCTAGGTCGGAATCGTCACATCTTACGAATCTGTTGGGTAAAAAGTGCGCAATTAGTTCAAATGCCCAGGCGTAATGTGTAGCTACTAAAAAGAGATTCAAAGTGGGCATAGATTGTGGAATTTCTGTGTTAAGGTGCCTTCAAGGTTTTATCAGCTAAAGTGTCAAATTAGTCCTTTTTTCATTGGTTTTCCAGGCATAGACAAACCCATTTCAGTAGCTACTAGCCAACATTGCTAATAATTGCATTCAGCAAGAGTCCCGCAGAGTTGGGCCGATATACTTGGACCGATAGTGTCTATGGGAATGGGGCCTAAACTATTGTAAGTTCAACGCACAGAAGTAGATAAGGGGGGGGGGGGGGGCAAGGGGAATCCTCTCCAGTCTCCAACACTATAACCATTTATTTATTTATTTATTGTAAATGATTACCCCCCATCCCCCAAACACAAACACACACACACACACACACACACACACACACACACTCTCTCTCTCTCTCTCAATAAGATTTAACAAACACGTATGGATGCAGTCTTGAGTGAAAGCGTAAGGTGAGATAAAGAAAGACAAAGAGCAACCAAGGACCGATAAGAGAGAGAGAGAGAGAAAGAGAGAGAGAAAGGAGAGGTGAGGAGAGAATAGAAAGAGAAGAGACTTACGGTTCATTCAAGTCATGCATAACGAACTCGGAGCTCTTCAATAAGAGGTAGATATCGCTGGGATTTGTGCACTTTAAAGTGTGATCAAATGCTATCCATGTCGCGTCCTGTAATGAATAAGTAAATAAATAAAATAAGAAATGTGAGAAGAAGAATACACTAATTTTTTGTTACATTTCCACTTTTTTAAATTTAAAACAAGCTCAAAATATCAGCAGAAAGAAAGATAACATTTTTTAAAATAATAAATCATTGGCGTGTAAAGGGATAATTCTGCATTTGGTAGGCACCAAAGCAAATTGAATCAACTAACAAATAGCACCAAAGCAAATTGAATCAACTAACAAATAAAACGAAATAGGCCAGGTTCATCAAGTTCGTTCTTTTTTTTTTCTCCCATGTCTTCCTTTTAAACCTTTAACCTTTAACATTCCCACCAATCCGAGATAATTATACATCGAAATATATTCAATTTACAATAAAACTGTTCATAAAAATCTTAATCGTTAGATATGATGCTTTGTAAAATAGATTTCATCAAACCATGCGTACTGTCTATGCAGCGCACCAAATAACTGTCACGCTCCGTAGAAATCCCAGTATTTGTACAACTGTATGTTGCATTCAGATTCCTTTTTATACGAATAATCAGAGATATAAACCGAATGATAGATAGAGGCGTGGGATTGAGTGCGCGCTCTCGACTCAAAGGATGAATTAATTTTTCACTCCAAAGGTTATCTATCCAACGGTGGCAATTATTCAAGATTCTTGTCGAATTTCAAAGCGTTCCGATTGACCTAAGACGGGGGCCATCAGTGGGGTCCATGACGTAAGTGAATGTAGCAGAAAATAACGTGAATAGAATGACTAGCTTTTCACCTGAAGATTGTATCCACATCAGTTTGAAATTAGATCTTTAAAAATTTCAAAATTGATCAACAGGCATTACTAACCAGCATTCGTTCTTTCTCATTCTCACAGATCTCTGTTGTTTTGTTTATAAGGCAGCATTAGACAAAATTTCTGTGTTTGCTTAGCAGTCCAATATACAATTATGTACAGCTGAGTTTTTGCGTATTCTTTCATTTTGTTCTCAACGCAAGTCTGTATTCTGTTTTCCCCCAATTTGTTTGCTCAGTGCGTTGAAAACTGAAACTTAAATCCACCTGCCTGACACGTGGTCCACACGTATGACTTGTCTGTAAGTTTCCACGTTTCAAGTTTTTATGCATGTATCTACCAATGTTACACACTTGATTTCAATGTTTTATCTCTCCATAATGCAAATTTCTAAAATGAGAAACATTAGTCTGCTATTTAGCGTTCTTCCTTAGCCGCAATACAGAATGCAAATGTTTTTTTCCTTTCGCCTTTCCTTGTGCATTTTTTTTTCTGAAAACATATTTACATTTTCCTTTCTTTTTTTTTTTTTTTTTTTTTTTTTGTTAGGTAGATAAGCATTCATTCCCCACTTTAGTTGCAAAAATGCTTTGCAACGAAAATTTTCTTAGCAAAAGTAAATTTCATAATTCCTAATTCAGCACAGTAAATCTCCCACTTCAATCCACTTATGGCAATTTTGTTTTAGGGATAAAATCCAACATATCCGCTCATAAACAAGGTATCATGTTAAAATAAGCAGAAAAGGAAAATTGGCCTCTCCTTGGCTGTTTAGAAAGTCAACCAGCTCACGTGCTTGATGTCCTGAAAGAGCAGCATTTCGTGGGAACAAGAAATAAGGATTTCCGCGGAAAAATGATAAAAAGTGTCGATGATTTCTTTTAGCTCCTCTTATTTCTTACTCCCGAATGACGGTTGTCTTTGTTTTTCATATATAGAAGATATATAGAAGAAAAAACAGTCGTTATACTATCGGGTACGCCATCAAACTGTTCCTAAAACTTTACACAATTTTGAAGAAAATTATGCCTCACAACGACTGGGCGCATTTTTATACATGTACCAGAGAAACACGAGAGACTGGTCACGATGCCCAGTTAACAAGTCTATTTCTAACTGATATGGCAATAGAAAACATATATTTCATAAATATAAACTCGACACACATATAGGGCCTATAAATCTTTTGATATTATGTGAATTTCTGATTGGCATCCGCTGGCACCACAGCAATGTGGCGTACTTGTTTTAATTGTATACTTTCTATACCTGTTAGATCAATTTTCCCCGCGACAGCTCGAGTTAACCAAGCTGCGATCACATTACACCCAGAACACTTTCAGTTATTTTTTTTTATGTAATGACGATGGATAAATTGCATATGCCCCACCAAACTCATGAGAAAAACAATGTAACACTGCGCGACCCGCCATGTTTTTATTTTGCTTGGATGGGCGGAGTCTGCCGATTGGTCAATTTGTCCTCATTTCGAAACAACAAATCACAGGACAATGGCACCGCTGACACGGTATGGACAAACTGGGGACTCGTCGACCCAGGGTTTGTTAAACAAAGCGATAGAAGTCGTAAATGTATCACAGTCAATGCTTTTTAGTATTTTGGTCGACTAGTTGGGTTTCACGATGCAACAGAAAGGTTGTTAATATCGTTTTCTCGGTTTTGAAACTGTGCTTCAAGAGCACATCGTACTAGTAATTGCCTTGACACTTATTTACTCTGAGGGTCGGCAATAGCCTATTAAGGTTTATTGGCTTCATTTTTTGTAGAATACCCGTCAGTAAAACATTAGTCTGGTGTCGTAAGTAGCCGACTTCAGGTAGTACAATATACATATTTTGCGGTCTATAATGAGCCAAAAACTTAGTTAACCCTTTTTGTGAACTTGCATGGTCTCTGCTATCTAGGTGGCCACCAACAAAAGCATTAGATATGGTACAATTGTTCGTTTCGGCAACGAGCACCTGATGAGTTTAAACACATGCACAAGGTATGACAAAGCATAAGCGAGAAAATGAAGCTCCTCCTTGAGAACATACCAAAGACATTTTCACGCACGAACAAATGATGCTATGGATACCTTATAAGCATATTAATGCCTGCCCTGTCAAAAAGCACCGCCAGTGTTTACGAAACACGAATAGTCTATATATTTGTCATTTAGTTGATGAAACTTGAGTGAAGAGAACACCCAAGAGGACTAAACCATGAAGAAACTGGCGCTGAGGAACTACACGAACGGGACCGTCATGACGGACACGCTTCACAAAGAATCTAAACAGGTAAACCACAAAGCCATACTTCACTTGTCATTATAACAAAATGGTAAAGGTATGTTGATAGAAAAGTTGCGAAAATCTACAACATAAACGCCAGATGAATATTTGATTCACACTCTCTCTCTCTCTCTCTCTCTCTCTCTCACACACACACACGCACACCAACATACACAGACCCGGCTGCTGCAGTACTTCGCAATAAGTAAGTAACCTGATATCGCTTTAATTAAAAAAAAACTTGATTGAAAAGTCAATATATTATTGACTTTAAAAACCGATGCATTTCACGGGTCTGTTTACGGTGTAATGAATAAGCGAAATAAGTACATATATAATGAAAAAGAAATAAATCATGAATATTACAATAAATGTATAATTTTCTGATAACTGAAAAATTTTATTCGTAACACCAAATATTATCCATTTCTGTATTTAAATGTTGATTGCGTTTTTTTAATGATAAAATTGTATTTTCTTAAACAGATAACGACTCTTCATGAGATTTGAAATTCCAAAATAAATACATTGTAAACAACACAAAGAAATATAATAAATTCCACTTCACCACTAAAACGGCGGTTTTCGCAATTATTATGAGATCCTTGCTTGCCATCGGACCACGTTAACCTTAGATAGCTGCCATCTTACAAAAAAAAAAAAAAACGACCATCTTCGAATGTCGGAGCGAATTCATTAACTATTGGTAAATATGGGTACATCGTCGCTTCCCCCCACAAAACGATTAGGACTAAAATTACTGACTGTGGCAACGATTGAACACAAGCTTTCGGCGTAAACGTGAAAAGTCTGCACATTACTTAGGTGTTCATATTGTGCAGTCTACGTATCTGAATGTCAACGTTTTGAGAGACTGACAAACTAATCAGGGATGAGACTGCCATTTAGTGAAAAAAAAATCGGAAAATATGGTGTTGTGTCCAGGGGTCCGCTTAAGCCAATGACACTTTTGACTCCGAAGAAGTCGGAAATCCGCCGATAATCGGGAAAATCTCATCCCTGTTTAATAGCCTGGGTATGACGTAGGAGTCATTCAAACGGAGTCTCCGTGCTCGACACGGCCAGTTAAAGATACCTTATCCGGGACATTCGCAGTCTCATCTTTCCTCGAAAAATTTCAATTTTCTCCCAGCACTTGAATGAAATTATTTTCCGGGATATGCACAATCTCATCTTTCCTCGAAAAATATCAATTTCTTCCCAGCACTTAAATGAAATCATTTTCTAATTAAATAATTAGATCTAAATTGCTGTCCTGTCTCTTAAAACACCACGTCTTCCTGTGCATTTTAGTGCATTTACGCTTTTATTTTAGGGTTTTTTATCGTATTTAAGATTTGAATTTGAAAGATAACTCTATTTCTTTTGTATTATTATTTTTTTATAATAAAAATATAAATCGTTGGAATTCAAAAAACGTTGTTGTCTTTCTAAATATGTTCAAAGGGTATTCCTATTATATGAAAGCTTTTCAATAAATAAACACACAATCAAAATTGTACACACACGTGCAGTGCAAGAAAGTAGCGTAGCACAAGTTGTTACTTCACAGAAAGGAAGATTCTTTAATCATTATCCAAAAACCGATGTGGGGGAGTCGCGCTTCAAAGGAATTGCGAGTTACATTGTATGTCATAATTTTGCTAGCCTCATGGGAAAGAAGATGCGTGAACATAAAGAGATGACCCGTACCTAGACCTCATAATGTCAGGCTCTGCTTGCAGTCTAATTTATGTTAACATCTTAAAATTCAGGCTAAATTCCACAGAAGTATTGACTGAGCATATGCTGTTTTCGAAACCGACAACCGAAAGCACCAGTAGACACACCGCGCAAATTAAAAAAAAGTATAATCACACAAATATAACTGTACAATACAACAGACTATAAGATCTCGCTGAAGAGTCTACACATATCAAGTCGTTGACTATCTGCTTTTGGTATTGTCATCCAGTGTTGCATGCGTAACAGGCTAATTCAATCAATTAATCAAGTTTCTTTTTCTCTTTAACTGGTTACAAGGAAAATGTAACAGAACCTGATAATACTAATAACAAAAACAATAATAACAGTAATGATTTTATAATAATTAAATAAATTCTGACGGTGTGAATCCGCGTCGATGCCGCCTCAGCCCCATGAATTTTGATTGGTCCAAACAGTTGGAAGCGAAGTTGTAAGAGCAAGGAGGTATGTTCAGAATAATACACCTTGGTGAGAGTGAGCAAAAGCCCCATAGCGTAAACGTTGCGATTCAGATTAGTATACCACTCGATGTGAAAAGTTCCCAGGCCTGTCTAGGTAGTAATTAACTCATTGAAGGACTCGCAATGAAAAGGCTGGTGTTGAAGAATTATTCGAATGGCACAGCCACTAGGGACTCTCTTCATCAAGACGCAAAACAGGTAGCTATATGAATAACTTATATCAGAACGACAATCCCAGATATTATGTTTTTGTTTCCGTTTCTCTATTAGCTAAATTATGGGAAAAGGGGGAGGGCGAAATTCGATGCAATTTTTCGAAACTCTCGGGAGGGGACAAAGTAAGAAAATATTAGATCTAGGATCCAACATTATTTTGGTCCAAGAATCGATGTTGGTGGTGTTCCATTAATTAATAAAAAAAAATCATAATATTTTCACTCTTATTTTTTAGCCTTGGCATCCTGACAAAAATTAATCATTGAAGTCTGTTTGTTTGTTAACAGTCGGAGGGGAATTTACATGAAATTTTCAGGTTAGGTCAAAAATGAACTCGATTTTGGTTTAGTCAGGAAAAAAATAATGTGAATTAAGTTGTCTTGGCACAGGTTAGCACTCTCTGAGTGATTTTCTAGTTTTTGTGATAATAACTTCTTATCACAATGACATCATCAGGCTGAATGCCTGCAGGTTGCTATTTTACGGGGGCAAGAGGAAAGGTAACTGTTTCTATTTTTTCCCAAAGTAGAGTGATTATTGTCACTAAAACATGACTAAATACAAGATCTTGGAAGCAGGGGTGGATCCAGAGATATTTTCTGACAGTCTTCCTTATTATCTTTGTTGATCCATCCTCCATTTTTGACAGTCTTCCTAAAGAAAAAAATGGATTCTCGTCAATGTAAACTTGAAAATCTGACCATCTTCTGGAAGACCCAGAAGGCCACCTAAATCTGCCCCTGGGAAGAATGAAAAATCTAACAGAAAAGAGTTGACAAAACAGATAATTGTTTACTGATTCCTACCTTCTAATTAATAAGTACCTTCTTGTTTCCAGCATTCTCATATAATCACCAGCTTTCTATATTCTACTCACTGCTAGGAGGCATGTTAGTCTTTTAATCTTATTGAATTCAATGAGAGTCCCTGTGGAGTAAGTGCACATTAGCTAGGTCCACAATATTCATTGTTAAAAGGCCCTCAGGCAATTTCCATAGCTATCAGTTGGCAAGATGCATAGGTATTTTTGAAACCAATTAACACATCCTGCCAATCATGAAAGGTGAAGAAATGATGAAGAACATTAACGGGCAGTTGAAAAGAGCTTTACTGTTAATAACATAGCTATTGACTTTACCTTTCATTGATCCGATGATCATTTGGCTGATTTTATATATAAACACCCAAAAACATGGACTTATGTACCCCCCCTCTCATATCCCCCTTCCATGTAATACCTCAATACATTCTTTTCCATGCAAGAACAAACTCCCCTTTGTATTTTTTCCAAAATTTTAATTAACTTGAACTTAACATGAAGATGGCCAATATATAAACATTAAACAAAGACATTCAAAGAAACAAAAAAGGTTGTGATAAGTTTGATGGTGACAGAAGTACATTTGAAATAGTTAAGCTCATCAGCATTATGTGATATTTAAGTAAAATTGACAAAAGCATTTTTTGCACTACCATCGCCAAAATGGTTGTTCGTTATTCTAAAACTGTTTCAATGTCATTGCTATCATTTCTGTCATTAATATGTCTGTCCATTTGACATTTTTTTCTGTCCTTTTTTAATATCGCTATATTGGTGATGTACAACTGGAATATAAGTCTGATTTTTAGCTCCTCCTCAAATGTTGCACCTTGTGATATGCCCATTGTTTCCTGATTAAGGATAACATAATGATCATGATAAAATTTAACTGACTAAAAGATGAATGCACCAAAATCTAATAATCTTGAACTTACCATGACACAAACGAAATACACTGTAATCTCGCATGAATATGGGACCATTGAGATCGAGAAGAGCCGAGTGCTAGTAAGGCCGCAACCTAAATATGACGGATCTATATGAAAGGAAGACCGCTAATCCTGTAATGGTCTCTCCGCTTCTCACACGCCTCCCCACCTGTCGTCCCTGCAGGGGCACAGTAATTAAATCTCGGCTCAATTCAACAGGTCGAGGGACAATGCGTGGGGAGGCGTGTGAGAGACATAGAGGCCATTACAGAATTAGTGATGTTTCTTTCATGTAGGTTCGCCATATTTAGGTCGTGGCCTTACTAGCACTCGGCTCTTCTCTATCTCAATGGTCCCATATGATTATTGGTGCGTAATTTTGAACTTCACGATAAAGTTCAAATTTGCAGACTTGATGTGTATATCATCCATTACATTCAAATCAGTCACAACATTCCCTCTATCTGATAACCATACAGAAAGAATTTTGCCTCTTTTAGTTTAACTTTTTTAGCCCCTTTTAATATTTTTGTTAGGGTTTTGCACTTCTGACATTTTGAACTACATAAACATAATGACAAAGAGAAAGAAGCTGTAACTGATATAACCAATGACAAAAATTAATCGGCTGTTCTGGATCAACTGATTTCAAACTTAAAACACTCAAGAACTCACTGAAATAGTTATACAACCACTTCTACCACAGGTAATAATTATGATAATAAAGAAAAGATACTGTTACTAATAATTATAATAATATCAGATTACAATAATCATGAAAGTAACAATACTACTAATAATGATAATTTGATACTTTCAGTCCATTTGCCCATTGGCATCCATTTGCACAGGTGCCTTTGTCATTAAACCATCAACTGTACCACCACAAGAAGCAACAGATAGCAATAAGGACCAAATCCAGGCCGAGGCTCTTGACTTCATTGATCAGTATTATTGCCATCTTAATCAGTATGGACATGCTTATAATAATTAATCATATATGAACATTGATTAATTTCAAAATAGATGTATGTAAATGGAAGTATTAAAAATAACTATATAAATACAGAATCCAATGATTAATTTACACTTTATCTTAATTTTCATTATTTTAATTTTTGTTAATAATTCTTAATATTATGTTGAACTTGTTAATGCTAAATCATCTTCCCTAAACTCTTTGCAATTTCACCCTTTTTATTTTCTGATTGGTGTGATTAGTGTTGTACTGGTAACATGCTTATATTTTAACATGTTATTTGGCTTTCCCAATTGTTCATCTCAAATAATCACACCTCTGTTTCTATTTTGAAGGAAGGACAGTGAAGAACATCTGCAGCGGAAAGCAGTCGTGGCTCAAGCTATCCAAGACACAGGGACGTACCACATAGAGTATGATGAACTTGTCTTTGGTGCCAAAACTGCCTGGCGAAATGCCTCACGTTGCTCAGGGAGAATTCAATGGAAAAACCTTCAGGTATGAGCTATTATCAAAGACCAGTGAACAGTATAAAGAAGGTTGGTCTTTTAAAATATTAAAATAGAGTTTATGTTTTTCCTGTCTTATCATTTTAATTGTTCATTAGTACTGGAGTATATTTCTCACTTGATCTCAGTCTTAAAATCAAGCTCTCTTTATAATTATATTGATTACCAGGTATTTGATGCACGTGAGATACAGACAGCTGAGGAAATGTTCAGAGCGATTTGCCGTCACCTCACCTGGGCAACAAACGGAGGAAATATCAGGCAGGTTTATTGAGTTGCTACTTATCACTTGATTAATTACTACATTAGTTAACAAACCTCTTTACTGCCTTAGAATCAGCTCTAGTTTTGTGCACCCTTAAATGCTCTTTTTAATCAGTGTCTGATTCATAAAGCCATGCCTTTTTAAAATTAATTAAAATTAATCATTTCAAACCAAAATTATTTAGCCTCAATATGTCTGAAGTGATGATGACCAAACCACTGCTGAGCTTTGCTCTTTTTGCTATAACTAAATAGATCCACGCTAGAGAGGCAATCAAATTTGATAGCTAGCTGGATTATATGCCAACATTGCATAACTAATCAGAAGTTTCTTCATATTTATATAACAGGTCTGCCATGACGGTGTTTCCAGCACGCACAAACAAGAAGAAAGACTTTAGAATTTGGAACTCTCAGTTTATCCGTTATGCTGGATACAGGATGCCAGGAGGACATATTATTGGGGATCCATCCAATTTATCATTTACTCAAGTAAGGATCATTTTCTCCTTTTGTATTCCCTTTGCAAAATTCTTTTTCTATCATTGAAAATCTTTCAGGCATTCAAGCACTACTCATTATTTGCACTAGGTAGCTATCAAAACTGTAGACCAAACTGTATTCCAAGTATATGTATCTTCTTGTTGAATCTACTTTATTTATTTATTTATTTATTTTGTCCCTTTTTTTCAAATTGCTTTTGCTACAAGTCTTATTAAGATTTTTCTCATATCAAAATCCATCACATACTTCTAATTAACATACATGTTTATTCATCTCGATAGACATTTGAGTTTTACTCATGACCCAGTCCAAACTTAGGCCGGTATCACACCCCCAGCTGCAATATACTTATGTGGACACTACTCTACCCAACACTTCTTGTCTCTGTTTCAGAAAAAATTGGAAATGTCATATAACCACTGTTTGTGATTTCCAAATAACTGTGTATCTTGGGGTGAGAAGAGAGCAATTAATTTAATTTCACATGTTTTCATAATATCTTTCTGTTTGTAGATTTGTGAAAGGTTGGGTTGGAAGGGGAAAGGTGGCCATTTTGACGTCCTTCCTTTGGTACTCTCTGCAAATGGGGAACTGCCTGAACTGTTTGAGATTCCCAAAGAAATAATATTGGAGGTGGAACTGACACATCCGAGGTAAGCAATGGCATCTCATACTACTTTTAACAAAAACGTTGTCAAATACCTGATATTCATCCAAAGTCTCAGACGCCATTCTTATACCTAGATCGATCTAGTGGGATCGGTCCATCTCTGAGGGGATTCTAAATAAATTGCACTCACTTAGATGGCACCCCTACTGAAACTGTTAGGGGGTAATAAATTATTCTTTAGCAGCTTCAGTAGGCGTGCCAGACATCTAAGCCACTTCAGCAGAGTGCAATATAGCAAGAATACCCTCAGAGAAGGACTGATCTCTCAAGATTGATTTAGGTATTGGAATGGGGTCTCAGAGATAACTTGAAATTCACCTCTTCTATCAGAACACCACTCTGCACTTCCAGTGAACAGCAGCAGTATGGTGATAACAGAGGTGGGTTTCCAGAACCTCTAAACTTAAGAGGGTGATATACCATACACTTATATACCATAAATCCCAATTTGAATTTGTCATTCATAAAAAATTGTTTTGACAAAATTTATGAAAATATGTTTGGTGCATTTTTCCATCTGTCTGATATTCTAAATCAAACTGAGGTTCAAGTTTGTGGTGTTTCATGAATGTTTTAGATTTGACTGGTTCAAAGAGTTGGGGCTGAAGTGGTATGCCGTACCTGTTGTTTCAAACATGCTATTTGACTGCGGAGGGTTGGAGTTTCCTGCTGCACCATTCAATGGCTGGTACATGGGCACAGAAATAGGGGCAAGAAACCTATGTGATGTACAGAGGTACAACATTCTGGAGGTATGTGGATTTTATCTGGCATGGGCTGTGGTGTCTTTTATGATTCACACTGACCTGACTAAGAAATTCTATTGCAGACACATACTTTGAAAACTTTTATAATTGTCATATAATATTTTTATCTCATCATGTTGTACACTAAACAACACAGTGTTGTTTCTTATAAAGATTTACATGCCAATGATATCAAATATTTTTATCTTAAGTGAAATATACTATCCTGAGCATCAGGTCATATGTATGACAGCTCTTTATTGTCAATCCTCCATATGTGAATGCTTATTGAACGCTGACATTTAGCAGAAAATTTGTTTGACATTTACTGCATTAGTCATAAATATGCATCCAGTAGCTGCATGTCATGGCTCTGTATAAGGACATGTGACATTGTTAATAGCCCTGTCTGACATCTGTGATTTGCACAACTAACTGGAATTACTGTACGTAAATGCCTCTAAAGTTCTGACAGACACAAATGTAAGGAAATTTGAAAACGAAGAAGCTGGGCTGCATTGGCTTTAATTTGAAACTGGCTAAACATCCCTGTGTGTTGTCCAATGTTTCAGATAGTGGGTCAGCATATGGGGCTGGACTGCAGGTCCTCTGTGAACCTGTGGAAAGACCTGGCACTGGTGGAGGTGAATATTGCAGTACTGCACAGTTACCAGGCAAGTCATTCAAAATATTCTACCTCTATGCATTGCATTTCATTTTAGACTGCTCAAAAAATCATTTCTTGTCAGAATTAAGACAAGAAAAATAAAACACTTTTGTATATTTATATTTTTTTCTTCATTAAAAAAATTCCCAATGACCATTTTGTTCACAGAAAGCCGGGGTGTCCATAGTAGACCACCACACTGTGGCTGAAAGTTTTGTGCAATTCATGCTTCAAGAGGCCAAGACCCGTGGTGGCTGTCCTGCTGACTGGGTGTGGATTGTGCCCCCCATCAGTGGGAGCATTACGCCAGTTTTTCATCAAGAAATGGTCAACTATACCATCAAACCTTCATTTGATTATCAGGTAACCAACAGTGTTCTTTATTTCTAAATCTGAGAATTGATATATAATAAGACAGTTTTAAGCAATTTCATTTTTTTCTTTTTTATTAAAAGAATTTTAAGTGTGAAATATGACATTGTGTAACAAGAAACTGAAGCAATTGGACTTAATGGCAGGGTTTGTTATGGTCATTACTATAACTAATATGAATTCATAAATTAGCAGAGCAATGATAGTAAAATGCTAAATCCTACATATAATCCAAATGATAATTTATAATGAGCTAAAGCAAGTTTCAGAAGAAAGTTATACATAAAAATGACCTTACTTTGCAGGAGGATCCACCATTACTGCTACTGAATCAGTTAGACAAAGAGAAAAATATGAAGAACTTGGTGTTTGGAATTTTCAGGTACAAATCTGTGAGAAAGTACATCAAAATGTTTGAATGACAAATTTTTAATTAATTTTTTTAATGAATAGAAAATATTTTTATTTTATGGTTACTGATAGTAAGGCAAGAGTGAATTGGTTACTCATTTCACAAAATCAGTTTTGAATTAGTTTTGTAGGAAATATAATCCTAAACGATACTTTCTTTGTTATGTTTTTTATCTCTCTCTATCTCTGATATCAAACCATTTTATTTCTAGGGCTGTTCTCTTGGCTACAAAGCTAAAAATGAAAATTCGGAAGTGCAGGCCTAGATGCCTCATTCTGTTTGCTTCAGAGACTGGAAAATCTGAACAATTTGCAAGAAGATTGGAAGCAACAATGGGAAGAGCCTTCAATGCGAGGGTGAGTGTACGCTATCTTTTAAATCACAAATAGCTGAAAATGCTGTGACCAAATTAAGCAGCAGAGCCAAATCAACAAATTGATGAAGATTTTTTTTTTTTTTGTTTTCAAAAAAATAACTTAATTACAATAAATTATTCAAGGAAATTATATAAATGTATCTGTGTGAACCCAGGGGCTAATCAGAAATCTTTTATGTCATTAAAATGATAAAGTCTTTTTATTTGTAACAATGGTAATGGTAACACCAGTATTCTCAAATGAATTTCCAACATCTTTTGTTTTCTCACCATTTCCAAACTATTTTATACCTCACAGAAATTAATAATTTTATACCTCCCTGTAACAATTCAGTGGGGGAATTCAGTTTGTAATAAAATGTCAAAAACCACACCTTTTAAGTCTTAAAAGACCTTTTTCAGATCAGAAAATATTATGGAGTGATAATACTTGCACAGTGATTCACAATGACACAAATATTGACGATGATTAACCATCATGACACTTTCAGAATAATCTAAATGTTTGACTTCAATATACTAGTATAAGTACATTTGACATGCACAACTAATAATAAGCAAAACATTCCCCTTCCTACTACAGACAGTGTGTATGGAAGACTACCCTGTCTACAACTTCCTTCAAGAACAGCTAGTTCTAGTGGTGACCAGTACATTTGGACTGGGCAGTCCTCCACTAAATGGAGAGGTAAATGAGCATTTCAGTTTAAAAAAACAATGTCTTCACTGTAATTTATATGGTGAAGTTTAACAGTGTGTGTGCATCAGATAGAAATAGAAAGAGGGGATAGAAAATGAACCTTGCAATGTAAAAGAATGTCTTCATTGTAACAAATTGGCTAATATAGAATGTGTTGTGTGTGTACGTGTAATCAAGCACGTACTCTGTATATGTGGTCTAAGATGAAGTGAGAGAACTTAACAGATCATGTCTTATTTCTGTTACAGACATTCTTCAGAGCTCTAGAATCCTTTGAAAAGAATCTGTCCAATATAAGGTACTATAATCATTTCACTTTGATTGGTGTCCATCTATTTCCCTTCATGACATAATTTGAGCCCAAAACTATAAATTCTGCCTTGCTTCCCTTGGTAAATATAAAACAACAGAAAAGGGCAATTTTACTTATAATATGTAGGGTACAGAGATAGAAAAAAATCACGTAGGTTTCTCATTTTGCTTGAATACCAGGTTTGCAGTGTTTGGCCTGGGCTCCAAAGCCTACCCTCGATTCTGTGCATTTGCTGTGCACATTGATAACCTTCTGAGGAACCTTGGCGGTCAGCGCATGACCTCACTAGTGAAAGCGGACAGTCTGAGTGGACAAGAAAAACCCTTTGTTAAGTGGTCCAGGCAGGTTTACAATGTAAGTTTGTCAAATGCATAAATTGCACATTAAGATCTTTATATACTACTAAATTAATTTTCTCAGAAATTTAAACAAATTTTTCTTTATCATCCTATCTCGAATCACCAAGAAAGTATCATCCAACAAACTTTTTAGAACTTTTAATTTAAGTTTTAAGCTTTTGATTTAAGTTCTCTGTGCAGGTCATAGGACTGCTCTGCTGGGATACACTGTAGAAGCCCACAAAATCAACTTAATGACATTCTGTGTAGTTTTCTAATACTATTAGAACACGATAAATGCAGTCATCTAATGGTCGTCCACTGAGATAAATAAATTGTCAATCAAAACTTTTAGTTATATCTTATTGTTTGTAAATCATATTTTAATAAATGGCTACATATTTTTAAAATACTAGGCACACTACAAAATTACTCTTAAATTTAGGGCAAAATTTCAGTTTGCATGCTTTTGTAATAAAGAGGACATTGTTTATTAGAAATGAGACAATATATGTTTGTTACCTGTATAAATGGTGTTATCAAAATAATACCATCAAATAAGATATCAATTTTTTCATGACAGGAAGCTTGTGCTTTGTATGGGTTGTTGACTTTCAAACACGCTGATGACATCGAAGTGACCACTGAATGGCATGAAGAGAGATTTCGTTACACAGTGGTCGGCAAAGAGGAGAACATTATCAAGGGTAACAACAGTCCAATGAAAAGAACAGTCATCCATTCCCTCTATTAAAATACCTGTTTTGATTTTAAAATGATGCAAAAGTTGCCAATTATTAAAATTGGTTAAAATGCAGTATATTTTGTAAAAGTGTCATCTCTTCAGGCAATACTTATTACTTTTTCCCTTTTCCATCATACACCATAAATTTTATGCAATAAAGTTTGACAAAAAGCATTTCTCTTTATATCTTTATATCTACAAATCACATTTCTATTGTGCCAGGTCTCTCTGAAATACATGGGTACCAGATGCAGTCCTTCAACATAATAAGTTCTACAAATCTGCAGGCAAAAAGTTCTGGGTAAATAATTTCTTATCATCAATCATTTCATGTTGAGTAATTTTAAAACCCATGGATATGTATTACATGTAGCTGGTATTCATTCTCAGTTTCTTCAGAAGAATAACCACTATTTGGTAATGAGCTACAAAACTACAGCAATGACTCAATCTTTTTAAGTGGGAAAAATTATTAATTATTCAGACACATTGTTTTGTGTCTACATTTCAAATTTAAATGGGAATATTCTAATTTTAGGAATCTATGACCTAGAAATACATTATCTGTAAATGCAGTACAATTTTATCCATTGAAAAGATTGAGTCATTACCATGTAACTGTAAGGCTATGAGTATATTCGGTATTAACAGAAAACAAGCTGTCATTGTCTAAGATAAAATAATTTCTTGTTCTTTTAGACTGAGAACACTGTCAGTTAAACTGCAGAGCACCACCAACAAAGACAAGCTGGTTTACCAACATGGAGACCACATGTTAATCTTCCCTACCAACAACATTGCCATGGTGACAGCTATCATTCAACGAATCAAAGACCTACCTCTATGTGGCGCAGCTGTCCAACTAGAGACCTTCTCAGTGAAACATAATGGTACTAGACATGGACATACTTCATTCTTTACTGATTGCCTAAGCCACTAAGTACTTGTGTATAAATCTTTAAATATGTCATATCATAACATCTGATGTATGTACCCTGAAGGTTTACGGA